GGAAAGCTTTCAGATCCTACCCCGACCTGTTGAATCTGGGAGTAGTGCCCAGGAATCTGTTTTAACAAGCCTTCCAGGCAATTCTGATGCATCCTGAAGTTTGAGAACCATGGCCCTATTCCAGTGGTTCTCCACTGGGGGCAATTTTGTCCCCAGGAGACTTTTGGCAATGCCTGGAGACATTTTGGTTGTCACAACTGGAGTGTGGAGTGGTGGTGGTGATCAGAACAATGCACAGATGGCCCCCACAACAAAGAAGTGTCCTGCCCAAAATGTCACTAGTGCCAAGGTTGAGAAACCCTGGCCTGTCCTACAAGGCAGAGCAAGCTCCTTCCCATGGCTGTAGCCCACCTGGCTCTCCATATTAGATTTGGCAGTTTGAGCCTAGTTGGGACAAGGATTAGCATGTCTTAACCACTCTCAGAGCAGAAGAGATGGATCAACTCTTCTAAGCAACAAGCTTTCAGGCCTTCCAGTCACCCAGATCAGTCCCAGGGGTCTCGCTTAAGTATCCATCTATGGCAAAGCAATTAACAGGACACACTGTTTATCTTCAGGGCAAGAAATTAGCACATTTTATAAGGCACACAGTCATTATGTGCACTGAAGTTTCAGAACTGGCTTTTAGGGGAGCCTAGTTCCTCTCTTAGCAGGCTGACAGGCAAACTTTTTCCATGCTTAGGAATTGAGAAGAGTCTCCAACGTCCGTGCTGTCTAGCTCTCCCACGAGAAGCTGAAGGTCAGGAAATGGAGACCAACCCTCTAGTTCTAATCTCCACTTCCTATACAAGATGCAGGCGAGAAAGTGCCTCTCTCTGGATAGAATTTCTCTCCATGAGAGTTTAACATTAGAGGTAAGTAGCAAATCATATTACTATAGCTACGGCCACACCAGTTCAGGTCAGAACCACCTCATTTTAAATCTATTTTCGAATGTCTTACAGTGCAGCTTGTTCTACCATAACCTCTTCTGGCACTTACCTAATATAACACACTGCTAGAAACAGATATGCTGGTAAAGTTTATTTACATTATGTTCTATCATATCAATCATATTTAAGTCCCGGAAATTTGTATTTACATACAGAACCCAGTATATTCCTGGGGAAAAAAAAATTTTTTTTTTTTGAAAAGCAAAACCAAAACAGGATACTATTAACATGATAATCGGGTAACTTAATGATCATCTGGCTTCTGTGAGGTCTCATCTGGGATTTTAGAGTCAACTGTATCCAGAGGCTGCCAGTGGCAAGTCATGAGAGAGTTGTAGAGTTCTTCGCTTTTCACCATAAACTCTTTGTTTAATTCCTCAGTATTCACAGGAAGATTTGGATCTGCAGAAGCCAATAATGCGTATTGCATTAATAATGCAAAAAAAAAAAAAGAGTTTGACAGGACATATATTAGAAATGGCTTACAGTTTTTAAAAAAACATTAGCAGGAAATATTGCAGGCAATTAGTGTTAAAAATTAAATTGTGTCTTTCTTTCAATAAGACTTGAAAATAGAAATTAAAGATTAAAAAAAAAAAAAAAAGGAGTGCTACCAGACTCAGCAAGTATCTGGATGGTGAATGAGGAGGAGAAAATAGATGGAATCAAGAGAGGTTTTGGAGATGAATGCACAATATTTGGAGACGGAGTAAATTTGGGGTAAAAGGGAAAGGAAGGATTGAGAATGACTCCTGCCTGAGTTTCTGGCATGAGTACCTGGGTGGATGTGGAGTCAGTGGGTCAGGACCAAGTCCCTGATGGGACTTTGAAAAAGTAACCATGCTGCTTTATCTGTTTAGTTAACAGATTGACATAAGTGAATACGAGTAAATTGTATATAGCAACTAATTCAGAAACAGAGAGGAACCTAGCCTTCCTTCTCTAAAACCTGGAATCCTATGATGAGGAAGTGGTGGTATGTTATTATGAAAGCAAGAGACTTAGATATTCATTTCAAGTTGCCAGGTTTCCAAGGTCACTAACTTTTTAAATGTAGTCCATTTTTTTTTCTCCTTATACTAAATGGAACTGAAGAAACCCTTTGTTTTCCTTTACAAGTTTTGCAAGCCTTAGCTCATTTAGGGCCATAATTTGCTTCCTAATACTCACATGTGTTCATGCTATTCACTGGTATTTATATGCCTTTTGTAGACTGTTGGTGCCCCTCCAAAATTCACATGTTGAAACTCTAACTTCCAATGTGATGGCATTTGGAGATGGGGCCTTTGGGAGATAGAGTGAGGTGAGATCATGAGGGTGGGGCTGTAGTCCGATGTGTTTTCTTTTTTTTTTTAAAGATTTTATTGGGGAATTGGGGGAGGAGAATAGCGTTGGGGAATCGGAGAAGGGGAACAGACAAGTTGCTGTCCTTTTGTTCTTCAATCTAGTTGTGGAAAACATGGCTTCACTGGCCTATGTTGGTATTATCATTGTGCTCTTCCCAGGTGAGGCAGATCAGTCGCCAGCCACTGGATGGCTGCTCATGGCGGCTCTTGGCAGCTCACACTGGCCGCCGGCCATTCACGCTGGCTGCCAGCCACTCACGGTAGTTTTATGGCAGCCTACTGCAGCCTCACTGCAGCCTATGCTGTCGCTGGTGACTCATGGCAGCCTAGCTCCAGGTCGAGCTGTTGTTCACCATTTTAGCTGTAGAGGGCGCAGTGTCACTGGCCCTAATATGGGATCTGAACCGGGGCCCTGCTGCTCAGATCTGGTGTCCCAAGCCAACTCCTAACCAACGCGCCACTTGGCCGGCCCTCGGATGTGATTTCTGCCCTTATAAAAAGAACACAAGAGCTCAGGGTCTCTCTCCCCTCACCACGTGAGGATATGAGAAGGTGGCCATTTGCAAGCCAGGAAGAGAGCCTTCACCAGAAACCGAGTCAGCTGGCACCTGCCTGATCCTGGACTTCCCAGTGTCCACAATTACAAGAAATAAATTTCTGTTGTTCAAGCCACGCAATCTGTGCGTTATGTTATAGCAGCCTGAGCTAATACTGCATCCTTCTGTATTTATCATTTCAGAACCAAGATCATCAAATAGCCCCTGCCCATCATATGTTTCAAGAGCTATACTTCTCATCTTTCTTCACTGGAGTCATTTTGACTGTAGTCTGATTCTTGTGCTTTAGAGCTTCCCAACCCTTTTGAACCATCTTTCCTTTGAAAGCTTCTGGTCATAAAATTAGATGTTTCTATTTTGTTCCCTGGACTTTCTGAAATTTTCTTTCATAAAGTCATGCCCCAGAGTCCTTTCCTTTACTGTCATGGGCAGTTGTTTTCTAAAAAGCTCCTGACTCTGTATGTTCCCAGTGGGGGGAGAGGTGTCAGGACCACACGCTTATTCTCTCTTGTAACCTGTGGCCTAGAAAACAAACAGTGTGTCAGCTAGGAACCCCAGATTCATGATCTAGGTCCTTTCAGGGTCATGATGTTGGCCATAGGGGTAACAGAAGCCTATAAAAGACATACTAATTACATCTTCCCTAAGCATGTGGGCCCTCTACACCAATGCTGTCCAATAGAGTAGCCACTAGCCACATGTGGCTATTTGAAATGTAGCTAATCCTACTTGAGATGTGATGTAAATATACACTGCATTTTGAAAACCCGGTATTAAAATTTTTTTATCGCATTGTTTTTATATTGAATACATGTTGAAATATTATTTTGGATATATTAGGTTACATTTAAAGTATTAAATTTAATTTCCCCTGTCTACTTTTAGTTTTTTTTAATGTGGTTACTAGAAAATGTAAAACTACCTATGTGGGTGGATTTGTGTTTTGCATTACATCTCTACTGAGCAGAGCGGCTCCTGATCTATAACTAGCTAACACTTGAGTGGTGATTATGTGCCAGACCCTTTTAAAACATTTAAAAGCACTTTAGAGCTATGGTCATCACACTTCCTATGAGGTAGGTTTTCACATCCCATTTTATAGCTGGGACGCCAATGCACTGGAGATTAATTTGTCTGGAACTACAGAACTAGAAAGATCTGAACCCGGGCAGTCTGGACCCAGAAAGCACATTCTTATTGCATGTCTTCCTCTGTTATTTTTATAGACTGTCTGCAGAACTGATGAAAGCAGGGAGAACAGACTCACATTTTAACCAAAGTAAAACCCCCCTGAGAGCTGGAATGAACATCCTTTATTCATATTTCAATCAAATTACTAAAAACTAGAATTACCCCATAGCATTTGAAGATTTCTTTTAAAAATCAATTTCATTCCAGTTAAACACTGAACACCACCAACTAACGTGCAGACTTTGTATCAGTCACAGGGGCTGCAAAGACAGATGCTCCCATCCTTGATAAAATCACAAAGACAGTAGGTGGGTTTGTCTTAAAGGGGTGGGGTGAGGATAGGGGAAGAGACCAGGTGGACATGTGATAAGACAGATATGTGATAAGAAACAGGCAAAAGTGTTCTCTGCATTTTTCTTGTATTTCTGTTTCCTATAACTTAAATGAAAGAAGCCAAATGTTTTCCTCCCTTCCTCAAATAACACACATTCAGAAACAGGATTCTTCTCTGGGCAGACACATTTTGTTGTTCTCAGAACAGATCAAAAGCTACAGGAAGCACCACGTGACACTCTAGAGGGGGCCTGCTAGGTTCTGAGGAAGCTAGGAAGCCAAGGGTACAGAGACTGCCTCATGTTTTTCTCGTTAAAAATCAAAATTAAAGCATAAGTAATCCCAGAATCTAAACTTATGGAGGAAACAGATCTTAAAATCAACTTTTTTTGTTTTCTTATTGTTTGCAAATGTCCCCAATTCCCAGTCCTTCACAAAGACCCAGGGAGGAGGCTTAGCTACAGCTGTTCCCACAGAAACAATTTCCCCAAACCAGATGAACTGCTGAAGAGAATGGCTAAGGCAACCTACATTGGTATTCTCCAGTAGGATCTCTCTGTTTTTAGCCAGCTGAGTGAATGAGGAACCTGGAAATTGGGTTAGTTTTGTTTTCAACCACTGCAACACAAGGTTTATGTTACCTTCTCGTAGGTCTTTATCTTGGTTTTCAGTCAGAGCTGTGGTTTCCTACAATGAAAATGAGTATTTTAAAAAAAAAAAAAAAAAGGTTTTACTTAAAGGTTTACTATCAACACATGCTTTCTTAGAAAAAGCTCGTTCTCAAAAATAATATCTAAAACACTAAACTCCCTTTAGATCAAATTTATTTTGAATTTTGATTACAAGAATCTTTAAATGATATATTACAATTATGAAATGAGCCAACAGAAGAAAAGTCACAAAGGCGGAAAAAGCCTGACAGCCACTTCTAGTCTTTCTGAAGTTCTGAGAACTAACTGGGGTCCTAGGGTCTGGGCTAGGGACCAGACACCAGGGGCCCTGGTATCCAGACTCCATAGTTCCTGCACTAGATGCCCACTCTCTACCTGAAGTTCTGTTCTTCCTTTCAGGTGACAATCTGCAAAGTTACTACACATCCCCCAACACCATGGCTCAGCTAAGGACCAAGGCGGTAGTAGGTGCTTAAGGAAATGCAGAGGCTACAGAAAAACAAATCCATCAACCATCTTCTTACATAATGAAAGAAGTAAATTCCAGAAGCACTCCCAAAGAAAATCTCGGCTGGTTAATCCAGACTCTGTTGGCTCTACTGGGGCAGCATAAGTTTTTAAGACTCCTCCTTATAGGCACCTGCTGGGAACCTGTCTTTGTTAAGGATATACAGCTGTTCCAAGGAACCACCCCCTCCAGGAAGGGCTGACAGAGCTCCTGGCATGCACATCCGTTAAGCCACCACTATTGGTAAGAACAGGATTACATTGAAATCCAAAGATTCACTATCTCTTCCTTTCAATCTATCTGAAAGTATGCCCCCCTTTCACTCTGAAATAGGTCCTGATTTGGAAAATAAAATACAGTTACCATAAATTTAATCACACCATCAGTGTATTTTTTTCTATTCAGAAATGGCTAAAAGACAGCCAGAATCTGTGCTAAAATGAGGCCTTTCTTATAATACAATGTCCACGTAACCTCACATTTCCTCCTTTTTCAATATGTACTCTGGTAAATGTGCATCCTAACTTACCAGGGTGTGGGGAGCAGAAGTTGTCTGGAGACAGGGTACCCGCTCTGGCCTGAGGTTCACCTGGGCAGTGTATGCTGCTGGTTGTCCTTAAAGAAGGGCACGTCTACAAACGGTTTTCTCTGCTAGAAGTAGTTCAGGAAAGGTGTGGTGTGGGACCCCAAAGACCTGAGAAGCACTTTGAAGATATCCACTTCCTTTCATATTACACAAGACATACTATGTTAGAATGGGGAGGGCTCTCAGGAGGCTAACCCCTTAACTTGGGGAGATATGGGCTATGGACACAGGTGTGCTACAGTGGGGGAAGTGGACAATAAAGCTATGGCATCTCACAGAGGACACAGTTTATTAGGGTAGACTCAGGAGAGGATGTGAGTTAGAGAGACCCACTGCAAAGCCTTACCATCTTGAATTTGCTGACCACCTGGGAACTGGGAACTCCCACCAGGTGGGCAGGCAGGCGGCACAAGTTACCCACCAAATAGAATATATTTATAATTCCTGAATGAAAAACTGCATGGTATAGTAATAATTTGACTAGAGAATGAGTTTAAAAAAAAAACCCAGAATGTGTCAACAAAAGTGGGGAGAAGAAAGGAGAGAAAGGGGTGGCAGGGAGAGAAAAAAAGGGTGTTAATTTCTTGGTTTTTTTCATGAGTGAGAGAGAAATATGTTCGTTTCGTGAGTCGATAATACACTCAAAACTGTACTTCTCTATTTAAAGATGTAAAGGTATCCACTAGAAGACAGGCCATCTCCCAAAAGAGCAAACTAAAAAAGGAAGGGGTGAAAGAAAAAAAATGTGATAAAACCTCAGGCAATGCAGCAAAAGATTTCTTTTTTTAAGTGATGTAATCAAGCATCTTCTAAAAGGGTAAAACCCAAATTGGGTTTAAAAGAAAAAAAAAAGGTGAGAACTCTAACATGATATTTTCTCTTAAGAGGCATACCCGAAACAGACTTGAAAAACTGAAAATGAAAGTTAGGGCACAAAAATACCGAGCAAATACAAGTTTAAAAAACTGAGGGTTTAGATGTTAAGTTCAACTCTGGTGTTAAGGTCAAGGCCATCACACAAAGAGTGTCCCTATGCACTTTAGAAACAAACTGGGGAGAAAAATCTGTAACAGTTTGACTGCAAAGTGCAAATTTCCCTAATATGTAAATATCTCACACAGTTAAGAAAAAGGGGCACAACCATATCTAAAAAGGGTAGACAAAGGACATCAACTAAGTCACAGAACACAAATACCAATAAACAGTTGACAAAGTATTTGCCCTCAATAATAGACACATGACTTCCCTGCCTGTTGGATTGGCTAATCACATACAGAAAAACATATACAAGCAAGCCCACCTATGACGGCAGTGGAAAAACGTAAAAACTCAGGCAGGGTTTTCACTAAGTTGCTGTTTAAAACTGTAAGTGTTATATCCTTGAATCCAGATCTCCCACTGCCAAGAATTTTTTTTTTTAGACACACAAAAAAAAACACCACTCAAACGCTTGAAGATAGGTAAAAGGAATTTTGGTAGAGCAGTGAGAACATTTAAAATGTCAGACAATAAGGCATTTTATTTAATTGTGCGCTAAAATCACAGCACAACCAAAGGAGCAACTTTTAAAGGAAGCTGTCCTGATGCAACTACAAGCAGAGGGAAGGACCCAACCAGTATATCCTACAGTCTATTCCTACCCAAAGCGCCCCCAACTCCCCAGACAGAAATAAAGACCAATCGCACCGACTTAGCAAGAGTACAAGGCAAGAATCTAGAGGACAAGACCCACTTGAGCAGTGTTTCCTTCTCAGTGCGGGGGAGTGGGAGAGGCTTCCCCTCACTCCAATACGTCTTTGTGTGGTTTCAGAAATAGATTACTTTAGTAATCAAGGTATTAAAAGATCTTTCTAAAGTGTATTGATGTTCACCGGTATATCAAAACAATACAAAAAGCTACCTCCCGTCCTATTTTAAGTGTTTAAGAGTAACATCTATTGAAAGATGATCATCTAAAATTTAGTAGCAAGGATTTAGGCACAGACTTCATTAGCCTATTGTTTTTGTTTTTGGAAGACAGCGAGAACTTAAATCGTTTGCAAGTCAAAATTTCATAGGTCATCAGTTTTCATTCCCTGATATTAAAATAGGGAGCAAAAGCCATGAACGACAGGATGTGGAGGTGTGAAGCTAGGAAAAAGACATTTCCACGTTGGGCACGCGAATGACACAGGATTCATTTTAGAGAGGGATACCTTAGGCCTAATCGACATTTCAGCTGGGTGTCCAGAGGTCCCAGGCTCAGAAAGGTTGTGTCCATTTCTGCCCACTGCACAGCCACAGCTGTAGCCAGAAAGAAGACGACAGCTGGGCTGTTGCTCATACCAGTTGCCAAAGGGGTAACTCCGGCTGGGCTGAAACTCCGGCTTCACTCTAAGAGCAGAGGGGAGACAGGGGGAATGGCATCACCAACCAAGGCGGAATCATTCCGAACCCCGGGATTGGTTCTTCTTTCCCAGGAGTTATGAGTAAGGATGATGTCTGCTTTAACTGTTTCAGAATACCTATTTTCAAAGCAATAACTTGTAAATTGCCAAAAGTTATATAAGAAATAAAACACTTAACAGCCTTCATTTTCATTTAGAGTAAGAAAAAATAGCTCACCTTTGCCAGTACCAGTAATACTTATTTTGTTGAGCTATGTCAAAACCTGCAAAACTCTCCTGTCCAGCCATTTACCCAGAAATTTGATAAAGGAGACAAGGAATCCACAGTTTTTGTTCCAGCGTCAAAAATTCCAGTTCGTGAGCTAAAGCCTTTCAATCCCACAAGTCTCTCACAACTGCCTCAGAGCACATAAGTAACTACATTTAGTGGCAATTCCTGCTGGGCAATTAACTGCTCAGCTTTCGTGATAATGGGGTTCAGGGGTGGGTGGAGCAGGAGTGCATTGAGGTCACCTGGGGGAACTTCTGTAAACTATTCCACTGGCTTTGAGTCGCCAGCCCCCATCTACCAACTGTCAGGCCTGGGGAAGCTTTCCAGAACCCACAGCGGAAGGGGAAGTGTGTGTTGGGCGACTCTGAAGAACAAAGGCGCCTCCACCGCACCTCCTACAATAATGTATAGGAGTCACTTTTAATTATTAAAACCTTAAGACGAATACCACAATTTGACGTTTCCCCCCCGCAGTTCAGCTATCTGCAAATAATAACTATTAGAACTAGCATCTTAGTGGATTTTTTTTTTCATCTCCTGCAGGTTGAAATCATACCAAACAACTGGTGGGAAGAAGTGGTATATAACACACACACACCTTAATGGGAGTACAGAAAAAAATTTTAAATATTTCTGTGGTTCAGTAGTTTTTTTTTTAAAGCATAACAAATCTTCCCAAACTTTGTTCACATTCATATAATTTGGGCATGTTGTTTAAAATGTAGGTTCTAATTCAGTAGATTTGGAGTGGAGCCTCAGATTCTGCCTTTCTAGCCAGCTCCCATGCACTTTAAGTAGCAGGGCTACACAAAGTGTCAACATTTAAGAAGATAAATTTTGAGTCTAAATAGGCGCGCTTAGGATTTGGTCATTTTCCTGAAGCTTGTTAATAACTATTCCACTATTAACTATTCCATTATTCAAGTGCTTATTCAAGTATTCTATATGTACCTGTAATGTGAAAAATAATAGTCATGATGATTTTAAATCATTCACCCATTATTTCCTGAACCTCTATACACACAAGGCAGGGTGATTGACACTGGCGATAGTGGACTTTGTTATACTCAGGTGGATTTCCCCAGGTCTTCAAGGGAGGTGTCCTTGATTAGCAGCTGTGGCACATATTGCTTGGCGCCATCCAATGTTCAGTTTCCTTTTCTTTCTTAATAACAGAACTGTGATTTTATTTGGGGGCAACAATAGGCCTTGCTAAAACTACACTTCCTAGCTTACCCCCTTGCAGGGAGATATGGCCAGGTGGCCATAATCTGGTTGATAAGACATAAATAGAACTATTACAAGGGGATTGAGGAAAGCTGTGAGGGTGAAGGGTGTTTACTTAGCTGGAAGGCCTTTTTGTTCTCCACCTTTTCCCTAAGCCTAGTGCTGAGATTACAGATATGATTACAGATATGATGGCTGCAGCCAAAATAACTCGGTACCTATCCTGGCCTATGAGGCGATAGCAAGGAGTTGGTCATGCACACAAATACAGGATCTGAAATAGAGACCGCGTCTGGGTCCCTGTACCTGCACTTGACTGGCTGGCCAACCTCCAGATTTCTTTTAAGAAATAACTGTCTTATTTAAGCCACTGTTGTTTTAAGTTACGTGAAGTTCTTAACTACTGTAGCAGCTTAAACATCAAATAAAACATGTCCGTTAAGGATTCTGTTTTTGTAAAAACTTTAATATCGGGGTTTTTCCCCCTCTTATTTTAGGATTAAAAAAAAAATCAGAATTTTGGCTATGACTGGGTGAGAGATGAAGCTGTAGTTGGAAATAATATATTACATTATATTAATAATGTAATATTATCAATTATTATATTAATAATAAGGTGGTGAGGGGGCTGAGGAAGGGAGAGGCCAATGCAGTATGTTGAAACCAAGCAGGAAGATGGCTGGAGCTGAGGCACAGAGGACCGTAAACAAGCCTCCAGAGATGAAGACAGCCCACAGTTCACAAATATTGTTTTGCTCTCTAAAAGCTTCAAGTGCAAACTTCTCATATTTCACATGGATTAGTCCCATGAAGCAGGTGAAGTAAACTTATATCAGGGCAGACCATTGGCCAGTGTCCAGTAGAAGTAGCCCACTCTCTGCTTCCCTTAGCTCTATGTGCAAAGGAGGCCAAAGCCCTCTGGGATTACAATCACATGCAACCTCTGTAGTCCTAAAATTTAACAGACTTGCTACCTGTCACGTTGAGAAAGGAGGGAGTTGGGCAGGAATATTACAATAGAATCACATGATATTTCTAATAGAGCTAATTTTTCTCCACTGTATCCTGCTTTTAGCCCAGTATATCCACTTCACCACCACCTCGACGCCCCCAAAAGAAAAACTGGCTGTTTTTACTTTAGCAAACCAAAACTAGACACTCAATAAATATTTGTTGAAAGAATGAATAAATCAATGCATGGCTCAACCGTAAAAAGCTTTCAATTAGTAATTTAGAAGCAAAACTAAAAATCCTTTTGGGTTTTAATGTTAATGAACTCTGAACAGCTGGTTGTTTCTTGGCAACAGCAGTTTTCACTAGATGAGATTATATGGATTTTTATATCCTGTGTTTGGAAAGAGAACAGGAGGTTTGGCAAGAAGCACGGTCAGAGTCCAGTTTAACAGGTATATAATTTTGTATTGTGTTTTTCTTTAGACAATGAAAAGCCATTGTTATCCTCTGTTAAAAAGAATGTTCAAGCCCAAGGAAATATAAAAAGCAGCAGCAGCACTGGGTCTGTTACTTAGCTGTGTGGTTTTAACAGAGTTCCTTTGTTGGGCTTATTTCAGCATTTATAACCTTAGACTCCATTAGCATATTTTAACCTTAATGAGGCCCTAATCTTTTTGAAAATGTAATAAAATTTTATCAATGCTCTCCTCCAAAAATGTACATACACAATTTTGCATATAATTTCAGGGGATTCAAAGCCCACACAGATTTATCCATGAATTCCCCTAGATTAGGAACACCTGAACTAGATGCTCTCTCTAAGGTCATCTGACCTCTGTAATTGGTTCCACTAATTTCTAACAGTATATTATAAAAAAAAGAGTAAACTACTTTGAGTTATGTTTATGGTGCTTACACTATGGTTTTCATTCTAGAACCAACTATAATCTAAGATTCCTGGTTGGAGCAAAAGATTTCCTGTTATATGTGTTAAGTCTCTGAATATTAAAGACCTTGACTTGAGGTTAGGTCTCTGAATGTTAGGTCTTCAGAGACCTTGATTTACAGACAGTCATGTCTGCAAGAAAACAACAAAATGTCTGTTGGCCTGCATCTGCAGACAGAACCCAGCTTGCGATAACAGAAAATGCCCCCCAACAGCTACTGGCTTACAGGCAGTCAACACTGTCTGTTCAAACAATGCTACCCTGTCATCACCACCCCTATATAACCCTCCTCACCCTCTCCCTCAGGGCTGCAAGTCTCCTTTAAATGTGCAGCCCTGGCTGTAGCCATCTTTGTTCAGCCCGATAGACTCTCTCTTAATAGACTTTCTTAAACTTTCTTAACTTGCCTGTGTGCGTTCCTTTACCGGCCGACCTATCAATATGTTAATTTCAAAAACCATTAAGTGAGTACTAATTCTTCACAAAAAGCAGTTGAGTTTTCCCTGGGGGTAATGAGGCAGGGCACCAGGGGGAATGCAGAAGCAACAGAATATATAAAGCAGGTAATTTTGAAACAGCTTTAATTTTTTTTGATGAGAAAATATTACTTTTGCATTAAATAGCTATGTCATGGAGTAAAATACGAAAGTCATATTTTTTAAGATAAAATATAAGACTTCAAAGAAATGTCCTGTTGACTCATTCTTTGTCCCATGCCCAGGAAACACCCACTCAAGCAATTCACACTCCTCTGATCTTTGTGGTAATAGTTCAGAAGCAGCAAATAGGAAATAATTTAAATAGTTAAATAACTTGTGACTTTTTGTAACATAATGAAGATAATGAGCACAAAGCAAAGGAATTACTATAAAACAGTGAATGACTGCGTGAGTGAGTTTCCCAGAGACTGAGAGTTAGTTTGACTATCAGCGTTGCAGTGCCTGGGGAGTGTTTACATGTGGTTGCCAAAGGGCACAGAAGACAAGGCCTTCCTTGAGCGGCAATGACAACCAAAGCATCCAAAGTGAAAGCATTTCTACCAGGCCCAGCATCCATTAAAACAATTCTGAGTTAAATACATACTGACAATTTCGAGCACTACAGAACAAATGTTCTTGGAAACAAATGGGTCTCAGGGCTACAGGATTAGCACTAAATGGGGTTTGAAGAATTGACACTGACGTATGCATCCTGCTTGTCAAATCGATCTGCTACAGCGTTCATGATACGAATTATACGTTGCAAGATTTATTCTACTGGAAGTTTGTGCTCAGATGTCATTTCTAACATATCCCTGAATCTCTAAATCTTATGAACATCTCAAATGTAAATTAAGGTTATCTTGCTTTTATTTACGTTTGCCTTTACACCTAACTGGGGAGGCGGTGAAACTTAAATAGATCAGATTTCCTTCTGGAACGCTCACCAAGAAGGACTGCGCCTTTCCTCCTCAAATAAGTCTGTTTACACCCCTCAGGCAAAGCGTCCTCCTCCCGAACCAAGCTGGAAGGCAAGGTGTGCAGGACGGGATTATCTGGCTTGGATAGCGGGGGACGCGCGAAGCGTACTTCCAGGGCCCGGACTTCACCGCCTGCTCCGATAACCGGAAACCCTAAATCCCACCCTCTTTTTGTACCGCTACGAGACAGTGTGAGAAAGGCTCCTTCCACTGTTTCCTGCACAAAAACGAAACCTAACTCCTACCTCACATGTCACAGCCCACATTAAAAAGGAAATCACACTAAGGGAGCCACACTACGGAACCCCGCCCCGACCGGAAACTGCCGCGCCCCTTCCTTAGACGTCATGGAAATAATGAGCTTTCGCCGAGGATGTCCCGCCCACTCCCGTCAGCGCCCAGCTCATAGTTTCCTAGAATATGCCTGCTTGCTCCCAATGTTTTCCTCATAGCAATGAGAACGTCCTCATGTGGAGTCATTCTTTAGTCTCCGATTGGAAATTTCGCGTTATCTTCGAGCCCTGAAACAGTTTTCACTGATGCAGGCGCTTAAAAGGCAGCCCTCAGACCGTGACGTCATTTGAGCGCCGACAGAGGAAAGGCCCTCTTTCTCTTGCATCCTGTTTCGTCTCCGCTCCCTACGCTGAGAGTGATTCGCAGGAACTGCACGTGCGCTGCTGAATGGAGCTGATCGCTGGTTGCTACGAGCAGGTCCTTTTTGGGTTCGTTGTACGTCCGAAGTCCAAGGCGAGCGGCGACCACGAGGTAAGAGCCGACATTGCCGAGGGACCGCCGCAGGCGTGGGCGGGAAAAGGTCAGGTCTGCTTTCCACACGGCCGAGGTAAACACATCGAGGTCAACACACCCTATGATCTCTTAGAGAGTGATTGACGAGTCAAACTCAGGAGACATAAGTACAAGTTAGCTTTTAAAAACTTTTCATAAAGCGATCTAATGTCTGTTGTAGTAGACATTTTTACCACGGTGCACGAAGGAAGCTGGCATTTCTGCAGACAGGCAAAGGAGTCGTAGAGTCTGGATTTAAAGGTCGCTCCCATAAGTTGACAGTTTAGGTGTTCAGGATTTAAGGAGAGAACAGTTTGCTCGTTCACTGAGTTTCTGTCCTGGAGTTTTACAAAATATTAGAACTGGATCAGGATAAACCCCTCGTTGATAAAGAAAATGACACGAATTCATTAATATTGGACTTTTACTTTGGGGCCATTATTTGCAGTGAAGTTGTAAAGGAGCCAAAGGTATGGATCCTGCACTAGAGATCTTCCTTTCCGACATAAGTGGGGGGAGAGGACTGGGAGCAAGTACATGGAGAGAAATTACAGCAAAATATAATAAGTATTTTAGTAGACGTGTGAATACAAAGTTAAGTAAGTTGTTAGTCAAAGAGGTAGTTTAGGATATCCCAGGACTAGAAGTTCTATTAGCCCAGGACAGTTTTTCCCCCTAAGCAATCTTAGGTATCTCTATTTCCTTGAGTGCTGCTTTATGGAGAAGTCAAGGTGTCAGTCTTGAATTAACCAGAAAATTGGAAGTATATGATTTGACTGATTGCTTTTGTTTATTTTGTTTTCTACTCTGGTTATGAGTGTGCCTTTGGCTGAAAGATGCCATTTTTTTAAATATGTAAAGCTGATGCTACTGATTATTTTCTCTTTGTTCTCTTTGTTGCTTATTACAGACACATGCAGTCCTCACAACACTCCTTTGAGGCAGATACAGTTATCCCCATTTTAAAATGAGGAACCTGAAGTTAAGAAAGGTTAAGTGACTTGCCCAAGCCACACACAGCTAATATTTGGCAGACTTAGGACTCGCCCCATGTCTCTGACACTTGAAGCTCGTAACCATTACTCTAGACAGGTAGCCCAGATAACCAACATTCTTTCTGTAATATGCACAAGCAAAGGGTTTTTTTTTTTTTTAATTTTAACTTTATTGGGGAGCAGTGTGTTTTTCCCAGGAACCATCAGCTCCAAGTCAAGTTGTTGTCCTTCAATCTCAGTTTTGGAGGACGCTGTTCAGCTCCAAGTCCAGTAGCCGCTTTCAATCTGGTTGGGGGGAGTTCAGCCCACCATCCCATGTGGGAGTTGAACCAGCAACCTTGTTCTTTTTTTTTTTTTTTTAATATTTTATTATTAGTTTCAGGTGTACAGAACAATGCAATAGTTATCCTTTTCACCCCTCATACAGAAACAACCCCCCCTCCCCAATCTACTGCCCTCCCACCCCCAATGTCATACTTATCTATTACAATTCCATTGACTCCATTCCCACACTCTACTTCACATCCTGTGGCAGTCCCTGAAAACTCATTTCCCTGGTCAT